AAAGAAATTGAAAGATAAGTGACCAGACAAGAATTTCATTTGTGTTTCAGAAATCTCAGGGATGTTGGCTTGCATGCTATTGGCCCTGAACAGTGCGGATTTTACACTGTTTTCAATGGGGCGTGAATTAGTGGACTGTACCACTCAGATCTGGTCCAGGATCATGTGACAGGTTATCACAGCGTTAAGATTATTCCTGTTCGCAAACACAGACTTGTTTCGCCAGCACAGCTACATACAGCTTGGAGACCTGCACAATGACTGGTTCCAATTTGGACTGTTCCCAACCGCTAGTGTAGGATTGTGTGCCCAAGATGGCGCTAACGTGGGCTCATCGCTGTGTGTTGTGGGCTTCGATGTCCGCATGTCTGACTGCATATATCATCAACGCGTGGTTCATGAGGGAAACAACTTGGCTATGCCGTGCTGTAGCAGGTATTGTGGTTTGTGACGTAAAGTTAATCAGTGGTGTACCCAGGGTGAATTTTAAACTCAGAATTTTTTGGAGCACCGTTTGCTCACGTTAACTTCAAGCACGGAGGTAGTGCACAATTAACAGCTGAACAACAGACTGCATGATGATTGTAGCCTACTATAGGCCTACCTGTGCCCGAACATGAGGCTGGGCATTCGCTTGCCTTACTTGTCTTGAGCCCATGCAGTCCTTTGGATAGTAGGCACACTTTTCAATATCGTAATGTTAATTATTAGTGATAGTACGGTATGTACACATATTGGCATAAGTCCTAGGGGAAGGGCTATCGTCTCCCACCGTGTCGTGGTAAGAAAAAAAACTATAAGGTGACTTTGAGGTGCCTGTCAGACTGCCAAACAACCAATAAGTGTTTATCAGTAGCACTGAAAAAGGGAGAAAGAGTACAACAGCTTTTAAACGCGACGTTTCGCTGCACATGATCAAGGGATGTAAAGTATGCGTAAGATGTATCATGAACACCGCCCTCGGATCGTGTTTACTGCCGTTTCCAGCATCTCCCCCTTTCGAATTTCCAAGGCCGGCAAATTTTAGATTCAAGTTATCCCCCGTCCCTCAGTCCCTTGCCACAGATTTATGTCACTGAATACACGTACAGTGTTATCATCAAACCATGTGTTGTACACGCAAACGTACTAGGATGATAATTTATAATCCCTTAGACATGCAGTTTACATATTCTATTCAGGCCGGTCTTATGGGTTAGTTGGTTTTTACTAATACATGTAAATGTGTGCACAGGGAAGGGGCGTATACAGGTCGCCTCTACGTCGAAGTCTGGTGGAGTGGAGTGCGGCCGCCACCATGAGTTTTGTTTTCTCCTGACTTTTCCCAGGTTTAGGCCTACAAGAAGTGTTTATATAAGGGAAACCGGTCTTTGCAAGCAAAATTTGAGGAATAATCGGTTGATATTATCCCTTTGCTAATGGGGGGGGGTTCCCAGGATTATTCCCAAAAGATTGCTGCCGTGCATTAGTCTTTTTAAGCAAGGAGTAGATAAGATTAGTTATCAGCATTAACAGGGCCACTGCACACTCTTTTCTTACTGTTTGATTTTATACAGCGTCATGGACTGGCGGTTTGTTTGCTGATGTATTTGAGTACTATTTTAGCGACAGCATGGAGAGATTATTAGGTTAATGCCGCTTTTGATACACTGGCATAGATGCCAGCGTTTATGCAGATCAGAGCTTCCGCGAAAGTTTGTGTGAAGTTTGCTTCATTTTCAGGGTACAATACTTAAACGAGGAAGTCGTCACTGGTCCCATGCAAGGTCACGAAGGTGGGTGGGTAACGCTTGTCAACACGTAACTCGCCCGCAGGCCCGTTAGGCTGGTGTCTCCCAGAGAGCGGAAGTTTTAAATCTCCGTGTCCGGATCCAGGCGACGCAAGGGCCCGTCAGTGTATATGTGGTTCTTGTTTCTAATTCACTGAATGAATTAATGTATACCGGTGATAACATGCCGTCCCGTCCCAAGGCTTGTTTTTTCCTCTGTGTTGGGGGAAGCAGAGCATATTTTCTGTGCCATTCTTCGCACTTCATCAGTCACCTTTTCTGGTTCTTTCATTCATGTATTTCTTTATGACAACCGGTGGCAAAGGGTCCTTGTCTGTGTCCTTGTCCCTCAAGCCAGTGTATGATCGGAGCAGGCGGATTCCAGGTTGGGTTTCTCTGGTGTGGAATTCCATGTCTAA